GTTTCTGGGAAATTATTTAGAGAGAGACAGAGAGAGTAGAGCCTGTCAAAGTTGTGTATTTCCTTACTGAGTCTTTTTGATGATCCTGTCATCCATCTCATACTGGGATATTTAATTGGCCTCACTTGATGTCATGGTTTGAGATCTCCAAAATCCAATTCCCCAGTCCAAGCCCCTTCCCACATCTCAACCCAGTGTAAGATGTGTTTTCCAGACAATCACACAAGACTCAAAATGGGGGGAAGGGTTATATTACAATGACTGTACAAATAAATATTGTAATACATTATACACACGATCTCAACTATCTCCACCACGACATAAGTATTTACAATCAATCGGATCTCTTCTCCCCTCCAAATAAAAGTCCAGGAGGGAAGAAGGAAAGATCCCTTCCAACTCTCAGGGCAGCAGCTTCTTCAGAGTAGCAGTCTATCTCTCACGCATGCAGCTGTTGCTGGATCTCTGCCAGCACACACGAGGGGATATCCAAACCCCTTGGCCCCGTCATCTTTCAAGCGAGGGGTCTTCTCTTCCGTGGACTGAGTAGCAGGGACAAGCTCGCGTCACCACGTCATACCACGAGGCTCAGGGGTCTTCGTGGCAGTCCCTTTCCTCAGGGGATTCAAATTCCCCTTTGCAGAGCTCTGTGCTCTGTCTCAAGGCTGCTAGCCCCAAGGGGCTCTGAGCCCCCTTCCTCGTGGTCTTACAACATGGCTACCTCTTCTACTACAAACTACAACTTTTTCTCTTCTGGTCTGGTTGTGATATGCTTATATTTTGCAGAGGCGCACATTGTTTCAAATCTCAAGTGTCACCACCCCCTGGGGGTTTACCATTTTATAATTGCAGGGGGAAAACCTGGTTCAAACCACTACACTAGATCTTTTAAAAAACGTGTGTCCATGTCCAGAGCAGTATAGCACTTCTTCCCGCCTCTGTTGCATGACCCTGTGAACAATTCCTTTCTCCCTGTTAAAATTCATCTATGTATATATTGTTAACCTCTTCTGTGTTGACAGTCTTCAAATCTTATAAAAATCTTCCTAATTGCTGAAAATATTAAATGTCACTGGTGCTTAAATCGGTCATTGAGCTTGATATGGACCAGTAATTCAGCTGTCAGCAGTGCCTGTTGACATTTCCCCATACCAGTTTCTTTTCCACCTTTTGATGGCTACAGTAAATTCCATCTTCTCTACTTTAACTGATGGTTTTCTGGCATGGTAACATTTGCTTTACTGTATTCCAGTACAGCTTAATCTTGTCTCATTTGCAGTTGATAAATCCATGTTATGCTTTACCTACTCCACTCCCCACCAACATTCTATATCTGCAGGTTTGCACTTTATTATGTCAACCTTTGAATGAGTCTATGGTTGTCAAACTTGCTGTACTATTTAACTGTCTTCTGTTAATACATCAAAGCCAGCGTTTTCGTGCTCCAGCCTAAGCAAATATCCATAATGTGACAGTTTAAAATTAAAATTTTACCATCTTGACATGTTATTTGTACCAGTTCTGAGCAGGTGATAAATCAAATCTCCTGTAAAATGTTTAATGCTCTTTTAAGTTTTTTCCAGAGATAAAATGGGATGTAGTTGTTTTCATTTCTCTCAGCAGTGCCTGTGTGCATCTTCTTCTTACTGCTGACAACTGAGGTAAAGTGTTAATGTGTCTCCTAAGTCACACCTGCACTGTCTTTTGCTGGTCTTATTACTGCTTCTGGACATTGTCCCAGTTTGTGGCCTGTCCTAACCTTTCTAAAGAGGTTATGAAACCCTCCTTCTCCCTGCTTCTTTTTGTTCTCTTTATAGGGTCTAATTCAGCCTGATTTTCAACAATTTTTAATTAAGCTTTTAAATTTATTTTAGTCCTACTATTTTTTTAATGTAGTGGAATGAAGAATTTGAACTTGGATAATGTAAATTAAGAAAAAAGCAAGTAGAACACAGTTCCATAGCACTGAATAGGCATCACCTGAATTTTGAAATGGATAGAGAAGTTTCCCTTGACTCTCATGCCTGCAATGGCAAATGGGATCATATTTATGAGTGTTTACCTTAAGGTTTTAGAACTTAGCATGATAAAAAGTAAAACAGAAATCATTCATAGAAGAAATAAAGGAAACTTGGTGTCTAATGTGGTGAAAATAAATGGCCTTTCATTATACTGGTATTTATTGTAAAGGGTAAGTTCAGAGTGTTGTTCCTAACTTTTTCAAAATAACACTTTCTGAAGAGTTTTTGAGAGAATGTGACCAACTGATAAACCATACACTACGGGAGACTTTAAAAGAAGTTTAAGCTTATTCCAAGGAAGTCTCCGTAGGTTGGCAGAATGCTAATAGTAACAGTGTACAAAGAATACTTTTTCCTTTTTCTTTTAAGAAACATTCTTGACATTGTGGAAAAAAAACTACAGAAAATATGATGTGCTGATCAAGAGTAAGATTTTTATCTGGAAGTATTGTCAAAAATTCTTGTACAGTACACAACAAATGTGTTTATATTATGGGAAATTACTCCAGGCAGACATGGAATGAAGCTGATGAGTTATACTGCCTGTTTTCCTCAGTTATTCTTTACAAACCAGTATCCACTTTGTTTATGTGATTATTGACCTTTCCTAAAGTTTTAACTTTAGTTTAGTTTCCTAGTTTTTAAAATAAGATACAGGTTTATTTGTTTATAAACAGAGTGTTCACCTGTATTAGGTAAAGTTCTCCACTCAACTACATTGGAAAAAGAAGAAAAAAGGAATTAAGAGTGTCTTGAAATCTTCATGGTAATAGAGGCTCTTAGGATAACTGATTACCTCAAGCTTTAATCTGTTTGCAAAACACCCTTTCTCAAGTTGTTTTCCCATCCCCGGAGATTTTTTTTAAAAAAACACCTCTATCACTTAAAGAGCAAGTGAAAAGTTTGATTAGGAGATACCCCACATATTGTTCCCAGGAGTTATTCAGTTATCTTGGGTCCCATTTCAGGTTTGGGCATGGATTACATCTCATACTATGCAGTACGTGGTGTTTTAGGCATTGCTGAACTGGGAGAGTGTAAAATAAAAACTGTCAACAGAAAATAGTTTGGGGCCTTTTGACCTTTAATTTGACTTTGAAAATTATATTGAAATAAAATTTATCCAGCTCTGTTTAGGGAAATACAGGCTCTGAATGGACAGATTCATTCTGGTGGAGGGATAGGATCCAAACCACTGGTGCCTTTTGGAAATCAGTCAGCCAGGATGCAGTGTAGTCTGCCCCTGAACTAGCCAAGCTTTTGAAAATGTGCTAGACATGATGCCTAAACAGTAGACCCACTGAAGTCTCATCAGGCTTTTCAATTAAGTCTCAGATTAGAAAGCATTGAATTGAATAGATGAATGCTAAACTTGGAGAGAATGACAAAATTTTCATGTTGACATTGAGTTAGAACAGAAGATATCTGAAGAACATGGACAGACAAGAGCCTCTCTGTAGAAGAAAATAATAGTGCTGACACCTTGCTCCTTAAGTGCTTGAACAAATCCTATCTTGAGAGTAAGCCCAAAGAACCAGAGGAGCTCTCTGCTGTCTTTCCCAGCCTATTCCTGAAAAAGCTTGGGTCAAGTCACCCTCTATAGCTGGTTTTAAGAATGCATTTGAGGATGTTAACAACTTTGTTTCAGCTGATATAAAAGAAAATTATCAAAATCAAGTTGTATCTGAAATCTGCTAGCAGTCAAATAGATTCACATCAACAGTATTGGATAATGCAGCACCTTGTGCTCTATATCTGCACAGCAGTGGGGCTCTGGCAGGTTAAAATGCCTGGCTTCTACATGGGGGACTTGCCAGTGAGTGTTCATCAGTGCTTTGCATTGGTGGGGGTGCTGCAGATGCCTCTGGTGTTTCAGGTCCTTGCTGGAGACTTCCAGCAGGTTATTTGCAAGTCAACAGAAAAAATACTTTCTGTTTCACAGACTTTGGAAAAGGACTGTCAGTGTTTCATGTAAATATCTGAGGTAGGTTAGCTAATTCAGAGTGGGAAACAGTACGATGTGCTATTCTTAGTTATACTACTCTAAAACCAAAGGACTTCTTTAAGGTCCTGTGATTTTGGGCAAAAGAATAGATGAAACCTGGTTTTTATTCTTACATTAACATGGAAGCCAGCTTAAGAGATGGAATCATTGGCTGTAAGAGAAAGCATTCATAAATATCACCTCACAACAGCTAGCCAGATATTGTTTTTCTTGTAAGATTTATAGCTTAGCTGTCTTTTGCTCTAATCGTGTTGAACTGCGTGTGTTGTCTTTTCTGAACATATATGAAAACCGCCCAACTATGTGTCAGTTGTTCCTGCAAGGCAAATGTTGTGTTTCATCAAGTAGATGTTTGTGGTGAGACCTGAGACCACCTTGGTTTGTTCCCAGAAGCTGTGAAATGCTGAAAAGTCACTACCTGCCTTTTGAACCATAAAACTGTGCTAAACTGCAGCTTAGCTCAAGTGTTGTCAACATTTTAGATCGATTAGTTTAGGGAAAGAGACAATGTGAAGGTATATGTAACTACATGAAAATAGTTTTATAGGATTTCTTTAAAGCTAATGGTTGATACTATTGTGTGTGTGGATGACTTGCAGAATATATACCTGAGTATATATAATATTTTTACCTGTATAATTGTTGATGCTGAAGGAAAGGAAAATATCCTACACATTGCTGCGGTTTTTTACAACTTTCCTTTATCTCTCTTTTCATTCTTATTCGTTTGATGGCTGGAATTCTGCCTTCCTCGGCCCTTGAGTAAGATGATCTTAGGGGGAGGTGTTCAAACCGCTTACTAAGCTCAGGAAGAACACATCACTCTGATCACTGATATGTTGAAGGATGAAAAATTGCAGTGTTTCCCATCGAAGCTATTTTTCTTCCTAGTATCACTATGGGAGAGTTTAGACAAAGAGCCCACATGAAGACCATACGTGACTATACTGTCTTATGTTTGTATCTGTTTGCAGGAATCTCGGTGGCCTTATTTATTTGGAGCAATCGCTTTTCCTTCGTTGATACAAGTCGTGATTCTACCTTTTCTTCCTGAAAGTCCTCGTTACCTCCTACTTGAAAAGCATAACACAAGTGAGGCAGAAAAAGGTATGACATGTTACTTTCTTTCAACAAAGGCTGTTTGTTAAAGGAGTGCAGGCTGGACATGTCTGATTCTGATATCACACTAAAAGCAGAACTTTCTAATAGGAGAGATTCTCTTGGCAATACTTTTTGTCACCTTTTTTGTTTGTCTCTGTATGCGTAAACATAACTGTTGCTTTGAAGTTTTCACAAATTAAATTCTCCAACAAACCAACCTATATAGCATTATATGTGGTGATACAGACCTAACCAAATCATCCTGCTGTTTTGCGTCAGCCACCCTACGCAGGGGTCATTTGGGAATGAAAGGTGGTTTCAGTTGTTGTGACTCTCCCTTATCTACAGTCTTTGCAGTTTGATTAATAAAAACATAGATTCTGTTCCTACTTTTTTTTCCAAGTAGTCACTGTGTTTGACCTTGTGCTTCTGTAACTCAATAACCTTCGTAAATCTAATAAAAACCTCATACATCTGTTTAACTGAAAATTTCCAGTGCTTCCATGTTACTTCTGTTTCACAGACACAGACCAGAATATTTTGTTTTTACTTTAGGCTCTGGGTATAAAACAATTTGCTTGTGTGATCACAGCTGCTGCATTCTCTGCCCCAGTAAATTTACTATGGTCCCAATATAGCTGAGAGAGTACCGAAAATTTGTTCTTGCTTATTATAGGGACACATTAAAAACAGGAATGTACAAAGAAGGACAGAGTCTGATTATAATACCAAAATATCAAACATAATTGTTTTACAAATTATTCCTAAAAACTTCATTTGAATATAATCCTTAACATTTTCAGTCATAAACTGGTTGCTTGCAAAATTACTTGCAAAGTGTGAATCAACACCTGAAATATAAATTTAATAATCTTTTAGCATGAAATTAATGTAACTCTATCCTGTTTCTTCTCTTATTAAATTAAAAACTGGCCTCTTTTGTTCTGATGAGTGCTCTGAAAAAGAAATGGTGCACTAATGATGAGACTCCCACATTATTTCAGTTTGATGTTGAATGAAGAACTCAGTGATTATTGGAGCCTCAGACATTTGGAGATATAGTTCAGTGCTTAAAAAAATAGCACAAAAGTAACAAGGCTTTGGGGACAGTTCTTTAGCTTTACAGAATTAGCAGAGATTAGAGGAGACAGAGAACAGCTTTTCCAGGGACTGTGAAGGAAAGTGCCGGCCTGCCAGCTGTGGTCAGAGTGCCCAGCAGGGATGCAGGACCCAGAGTGGGGCTGGCTGTTTGGTGAGTAACTTCTGCAGCATCATGGCTGGGCTGGGAAGAAATGCCTTTGGGTGCCAAGTTTAAACTGACTGATTTCTACCTGATAAAATTGTAGATGTATTTTCAGAGCTATGGTTGGCAAAGAGTCTGCATCTGCAATGCTATTGCATAATGTCACACTTGTTATGAGGAACTATTGCAACTCCTGCTACAGTACCTGGAAATTTCAGCACTGACAGTGAAACTGGGCCTCTCATAGGTAGAGTTTAAAAGTTGTAAAAAAATGGCAGTAAAATAACACCACTTGCCTTGAAATTCACACCATTTACTCTTGCTGTTAATGGGCCAACTGCAGTCTGGGATGTTTTCAGCATACATGTTCTAAAAATAATTTGAAAGATAATACAGAGGTATTGGATGTAGGTTTTGGAGTAGGAGGCAGTAGGAGAGCAGTTACCCATGCTGTATTTGGTAGTTGAAGGAAAATGATTTTTGGCTTGCTGATCAGGAGAAGATGGCTTTCATAAGCCACCTTAAAGACTACAAATTTAGATACTCTGAGAAAAATGAAAAGATTGATACAAAAAACCTTTTCAAAGTAACTGCTTGTCAATAGAAGCTTTTGGACTTGATTAATTCCAGAATAAAAAAACAATACTGAGATGTGTTGTAACACAGAGTGAAACTCATTTTGTGTGTAGTCTACAGCAGAATTCACAAAATAGGAGAGTGAATCAACAATCAAGACAAATCATCTGGATGTTTGCATTACCAGCAGAAATGAGGGAGGAAAAGTCTAAGTATTAGGGAGACTAGAGGAGATATGAGTTATTAAAATGCCCTTCTGCTTGTAAGTCATATAATGACAAAGCAGTATTCTCCATTTTAATGATGACTGCAGTAATGCTCTTGAATTATTTGCCTCTTAGCTTAAATCTGCATTTTAATATCGGAAATATGCAACTCTTTCTTCTGACTAAATCCCCTTTCTTTCCCCTAATGGATCAGGGCTATTCATGCAAATGTATTTTTCACTGTGGATTATACCTTGTTAGAGAAATATAAAACAGTGATTTGTAAAAGGTCTGCTGTATCTAATGCAGATGACTACATTAGTCTTTATGAAATACTCTAAAATGTGCATCTATGTCAAAGCTCCTAAAATGGAGCTGACAACATTAATCTTGTTAATTGTTTTAGAGCAATAACATCCAGCGGGATAATGTGGGTCATTGAGCTTCCACAAAGTTTTACTCCTGCTTTGATCCCCCCCTTTTTCTTCTCAGTCTCAGGAAAGAGCCAGACTATAACTACCAAAATACAAGTGGTCTTTTCTCGTAGATGTCTTTAAGGGGAAAATAACAGACTGGAAGGAGGAGAAGGACCAAAATGTGTTGTGTAAGCAATGAAAAAAAATGAAGAGGTGCAGTTAGAGCAGGAAGCATCATGTGTGAGTATAAACCACAAAACAATGAGAGAAGCTGCTCTGTGAACACAGGAGTAGTGAGGCCTCAGCTGAGCGGTGTCTCCTGTGCTCTGTTAGCAGGGATTTACCAGGTCTCCTCCTGCCCCCTTTACAGCAGTGCAGTTGGTGCATGCTCTGGGCAGCTGAGCCCATGTCTGGCCCATCAGCCACACGGATGCCGTGTTCGACTTGTGGTTGTCTGCTATCAAAAGCAGCGTTAACAGCTGAGCTTTGCTCATCTTTCTAGGGGTCATCATCCTTTATCTGAACCCCTGAGGCCAAAAGGAGCTGAACTCTCCCTCGTATTTCTGTCTTACTGCTGAATGTGGGAGAACTGATTTATGTGTTGTGGGAGGAGAAAAGTTAACTGGAGCAATGCATAATCTATAAACCTGATTTACTCAAGAAGCTAAAAGTCTGGTAATGGAGAGAGGGTAGAAGCATCCCAGCTCTACTCCCAGGTCTCATAACTACTATTCCCCTCCCTTGGTAAGAACAGAAGGGAGGCAAATGCCTACTATTTAATTGGTGTGATCCTTCTTCATAATGCTGACCGGACAGCAAAGAAGAAATGGGTATTTAAGTGCTTGAAGAGAAGGGCTTTAGAAGGAGATTGTGGGAATGAAGAGGAACAGGGATAGAAACAGGAAGAAAAGGAAAAACTTACTGCTATAGTTACATCAGTAATTTCCCATCTGAGCTCTAGTAGCTGCCTTTTAGTTGCATGGCAAGTGCACCCCTGACCTGTGACTGTTGCAATGATGCAATATAAATAAAATCAATAGTGATAAAATGGAACACTTTTTATGACTAACAACATTTGTTATAAACACTTTCAAGTGGAGAGCCAAGGTGTCTCTTTTGAAGTATACTGTTACAAGGAGGAAACCTACATTTTCTGTGCAGCTACAGGAGCAGGTCTTGTCAATCAAAAATCGAATTCAGCTGACATCCCAGCTTGCTAGAGAACAAGAATATTGTTATGTCAAATAACTTAGATAAAATGTCATGGTAACATCTGTTGGTGACATGCAAAATCTGTTCATCTAGTATGTTCAGTCATACATTATAAACTCTGTGGTTATGAAAGAAGCATTACAATAGGGATAACAAGCAGTGTAGAATTAAATTCTTAGAAAGATGGATTAGAGTTGATACTTTCTCACGTGATAAGAGAGCAAGGCCATTCCTGATTTAAGAAAGCAGGTAGCTAATTTTTTACAAAGCCCCTCGTGGGACATGGACAGGAGTGATATTAAAACCAAAACCACACCAGCAACAAGTTACTGCAAATTCAGTGACTAAAATGAACTGTTTATGACTGATGACAAGGATATATATGTTTTATTTTTGTTTATCTGTAGGTTTTGTATGTCTGTAAGCATTATAAACTATTCTTATTGGAAAGGAAGAGACAGCTGTGACTCCTACACTTGCTGACTTATGGTATAGGCTCCATCTCAGATGGTTGCTAACTGCCAAAAGCTGGAGTGCTTGTGGTGTGTCTGATTTGTTTCTAAACTTTTCTTAAAATTCCTGTCTTTTACAAAAGATATTAGGTTCACTGGACTTTAATACAACTCTGTTTACCAGCTCTTGTGTTATTTTAGGGTGGCATGTGGATAATTTGTTTTACCTGTACATCTTAGCTAGTTTCAGGTGAACCTGAACAGGCCTATTGATAGTCTGCGAAACCAGACATACGAAAAAGGTAAAGATGTAATCCTTAACTGGCTGATAACTCATAGAAGATATGTGTGTGTTCTTTTCTTAGAAGAGGAAGGAGGTGACAAATGGGAAAAGCCTGAAGTGTTTTGCTTGCAGTTATATTTACTGAGATTTAATCTTAAATTTTGCTATGCTACATGCTAGTAGATAATAAATATTTTGCTAGATTTAAATAGCATTATTACATTTAAATCTCTCCTAGCAAGATACATCTAAATTATTCTTCTGGCTATCCAGTACTCTAATGAAATTAGTCATATGTGACAATAATTAGTTTTTTTCATTTTATCAATTATTTTTGTGTTGGCATGGAGTTATGACAGGGAAATTTCTACAGTCAATTCAAAAGCATTGAGGTTGGGTGAACTTTTACAAGGTACCCCATATGTCTACTGCTGCTCAGAACAGCAGCCAGCTTTATAACAGTGTGACACTGTGAATGCATCCATGGGAAACAGATGACAGTAATACTCACACAGCTTATTTGTATTATTTTTGTTTGTTTGTTTTTAAAGACATAAGCCCAAACTACCTGTGACAGCTTCTCTCTTTTTCTACCTCCTCTTGCCTGAGGCTGGCTCTATTCTCTAAACCATGCAGTAGCATTTTGATCCACTAAAATTTCTTCTCAAAGTTTACATGCTAATTCTGTCTGTAGGATAACAACTGCTTTTTTGCACAATCCTGGAAGTGCTGTAGTGGAAAAAGCATTCTCCATGTAGTTGAGTAGTTGAGTTCTTGAGTGTCCATCTTCAGTTAATTTAAAGGACTGATTGGTTTTAAAGATGGTACTGACTGATTTTGTTCAGATCTTTGAACCGCTTTCAAATGCTTCACCTTCACTTAGCCAAGAAGAAAAAAAACTAGTGGTGTAAATGGAAGTGTAAAGTTTCCCCTTGACTGGAACTATCAACTTGTTTTACTGTTTATAAAGACAGCATCCCAAGATTCAAAAGCTGAGCATCTAGAACCTTATGATCAAAGGGAATTAAATAGAAATCTGGGAAAGGTCTAAAAGTTGCTAGAACTTCAACTCCTTAGATGGCTTTAAGTGCTACATGAAAATAAGACTTCCCTATACAGAGAAGCAGACAGTCACGGAGGGAAATGAGTCATTGCAGTAAGGAGAGGAACGACTGCTGTGCTTCTCAGTGACAGCAATGCAGGGGTTTAGAATGTAAAATGAATAAACCGAACATCATACATTGAAAGACCTTTGAGTTTTCCCATCTCCCTGCTAATGCAGAATTTATTTCTGCATTAGTTATGTATAAAATTGAGATTCTTATGGTACTGAAAACTGGTAATGGAAGAAAATTAAAGATATAGCAGGAAAACGTTTTTCCAAGTAGATTGAGTACCATCTACTCAAAACTATGTATGTATAGCATAGCATTTTCTTAGATTTTCTTGACTTGTTGGTAATTTCAGCAAAGCTTTTGATACTGTCTCTCACAGGATCCTTCTGGACAAAATTTCCAACCCACAGCTGGATAAACACATCATGTGGTGGGTGAGCAATTGGCTCATGGGTCGAGCACAGAGGGTAATAGGGAATGGGGTAACATCACACCGGCCACCTGTCACTAGTGGGGTTCCACAGGGCTCCAACCTGGGCCCTGTGCTCTTCAACATCTTCATAAATAACTTGGAGGCAGGACTGGAAGGGACACTAAGCAAATTTGCAGATGACACAAAACTGAGAGGACCTGTTGACTCCCTCAAAATCAGGGAGGCCTCACAGAGAGATCTCGACAAATTAGAAGATTAGGCAATCACCAACCATAGGAAGTTCAACAAGAGAAAGTGCTGGATTCTGCACCTGGAATGGGGCAACCCTGGATGTTTGTACAGACTGGGGAATGAGATGCTGGGAAGCACTGCCACGGAAAGGGACTCAGGAGTCCTGGTCAATGGCAAGTTGAATATGAGTCAGCAGTGCCCTGGCAGCCAGGAGAGCCAACCATGTCCTGGGGGCATCAGGGAAAGCTTTGCCAGCCAGTCAAGAGAGGGGATTGTCCTGCTCTGCTCTGTGCTGGGGCATCCTCACCTTGAATATTGTGTGCAGTTTTGGGCACTGCAATATAAGAAAGGTATTAAACTCTTAGAGAGTGTCCAAAGGAGGGTAATGAGGATGATGAAGGGCCTTGAGGGGAAGCCATATGAGGAGTGACTGAGGGCACTTGGCCTGTTCAGCCTGGAGAAGAGGAAACTGAGGGGAGACCTCATTGTGAGGGTAAGAGGAGAGGCAGGCACTGATCTCTTCTCTGTGGTAACCAGTGACAGGATCCAAGGGAATGGCCTGAAGTTGTGTCAGGGGAGGTTTAGGTTAGATATTAGAAAAAGGTTCTTCACCCAGAGGGTGGTTGGGCACTGGAACAGACTCCCCAGGGTCACAGCACCAAATCTGACAGAGTTCAAGAATTTTTTGGATGATACTCTCGGGCACATGATGTGACTCTTGGGGATGGTCCTGGAGCCAGGCCAGGAGTTCGACTCAATGATCCATGTGGTCCCTTCCAACTTGTCATGTTCTGTGATTCTGTGAATTTTAAGTATCCATCAAAGTTGCCTAGTGGCATCTCTTGACTTAATGCCACAGAGGGAAGAAAAAGAAATCAGGTGTCTATCTTTTTCCTGCCTTGTACTTGGTAATTTTTGAAATTGCAGGTTTTTGATTCCCGGTCCCTCTAGAAATACAGCAAGATCCCTTGTGCAGAAAAGACAGATTGCTTTCTTTTTACTTGACTGCACCTATATTTTTGACTTGTGTGCCCTGAAGTAATGCTGAAAATTCCAAGGACAGGAAAAATAAAGAAATTTGTGCACTGACCTAATTTACACTGATAAACCAGATGCTTAAAAATCGGAGAGAATCTTTTCAAAGAAGAGTATGGTGATATATGTCTGGTTGCTTGCATCTTTACTTGAATTTTTCTTAATCAGTGGTCTCACAGTACTGAGGAAAGGGTATTTTAAGCACAAGACATTGATTTTATCATACCATAGACACAGATTGTTCTATTTTTACATTTCTTAACACTGTCTTTAAATACATCACACTCATTTTAATGAGTGCTTAGCATGTTATTTATTAAAAAACAGGTAGTGTCATAAGGAGAAAACTACAGCTTAAAATCTGCGTTCTGAGGTCTGAATTTGTTAACTCATTTCTGATTGTACAGTCTGTGTGCAAAGATAAATCTTGTGCTGTTTCTGAGGGATTTAAAAATTTTGACCTCTCACCAGAGAGAAACTGGTTATCGCAATATATGAACGTTATGAATTGACTCAACACCCAGAGGTGGTTCATCCCTCAAAAAAACCCATCCTTGTTAAACAGTCACATAGGGCCCATTAAAATGCATTAGAAGCACTAAGTGCCTCAGAAAATCTTGGCCCAGAGCACAAGTTAGTTCCCTGTGTCACCAGACTGGGGGCCAGGCAGCATGTGCAGTGTTGGGCATTCACCAAAGTGACAGAGAGGGATGCTCCAGAATGGCCACCGGTTCATTCGTGTGACCTATCCCTCAGAACTTTGAAATGCCACTAATTGGCCTTTTCACCTACTGGGTAAATTTCAAATTTTGTAACTTCAAAACCTAAATAGAGTCTGGACATTTTAACCATGACTAGTCAGTTTCTTTGGCTTTCTTCACCATCCAAGTCCTTTTTATGATCCAAAAGGATATAAACTTACTAAAAAATGTGGTCATTTATTTATATGCGCTGTTATGCAAAGCTGTGGATAAAAAAAATTCATTTGGCTCTTAGGAGAACTTAATTAACTTATTCATTTAATAAAAAAAACAATTTAAAGTGACCTGCTGAGTAAGGGATTGTTTTGAGAGTTAGCATCCTACTGGGTTGCAAAGCCTTGTTGCAGGGGTATGTGTAACATAATTGTTTCTCTACAGTCATTGTGAGATGATGAGTATTTTAACCATCTCTTAAAAATCCAACCCCTGGGGTATGTTGATGAGATTGAGATAAAATATCAGCATATACAGTATCTTTAAAACAAAGCTGGTGGAGATACACCACATGCATTAGGAGATATCTGTTTGTAGTACACCTAGGAGGAGGTGTGAGATGGAAAGCTTTTATTTTTCACAGTGGAAGGATATCTCAGTAAGTCGTTGATGTGCAATATTAAATTGTATGTTTCTAGGGAGATGAGGGTTAGTTGGTTGCTTACATTTGCCATGTAAATTTGCTCTTGTGTCTCCAGTATTGACAAATAGAAAGTCTTGAACTGCTTTGGGTAATTCTTTCTAATATTAATCATCTTGACATCTTGAATTCTTGTCTATATGATAGTAAAAACCAGAAGTAACATAAAGAATAACAGCTCTTTCTTTCAAATGTCTGCCTTTTCTTGGTTTACCAGACTTTCATAAGTTTTTACATCTTACTACTTCTCTGTCCAATCTATCTCCAGCAATGAAGTCAGCTATATTGTTAGGCAGCAAAAGTAGCCAAGTCAAATAATATTTGGAGCTGCTTTGGTATTAATGTTTTTTTCAAATTACACAAGGTTTTTACTCTGCACTGGACCTTAGGCCATATTATATATGAAATAATATGAGAGATCTTGTAGGGAAACAAATCATTTATATTCTTATTGCAGTTTCTGAGACCAGTAGCAGGGATGAGCTAGATTGTGCCCAGAGCAGAATGATATTGTTGGCAGAGGAATAATTAGGTTGTAGCCCATGTATGTCTCCTGTTTGTGTAACACATTTCCATCTCAAAGAAACAAGTCTGTTATAAACGCACCTAGTGCCAAGCGTCTGGCCTAAAGCATATTCCTCTCTTTGTAGCATTTCAGAGATTCCTTGGGAAAGATGATGTTTCTCATGAAATAGAAGAAGTTTTGGCAGAGTCTCGAGTCCAAAGAAACACCAAGTTAGTGTCGATACTTCAGCTCCTGAGAACCCGCGCTGTGCGATGGCAGGTCGTTACCGTGGTCGTCACCATGGGCTGCTACCAGCTCTGTGGGCTAAATGCTGTAAGTGTCCTTCAGGCCATGGCATCTCCTGGGATGCTTCTTTCCTTTAATGCAAGGTTTGGACTATACCATTCAGCAACCTCTGACTTTCATTTTTTGGCTCTTTCTTACTAGTAGTGATTCTGTGACCGTAGCACATGGGAATGTCCACAGAAATCTGTATTGTTCAGACTTTTTTTTTTTTTTTTTGGATCAAAAAAAGCATGAGAGAAGCCATATTGTGTTAACTTAGAAGGAATACATGAAAAGGTAGCACAGCAAAGAAAGTGTGCACAGCTTTCACTTCTGATACTCAAATTCTCTGTTTCTGGTCTGATATGCCCCATGTTTATCCATAGTCTTTTCAGTAGCCATTTCAGCTTTCATTGGTTCAGTTCTGTACTTATAGAAGTCAGCAAAAGTTCCTGTAAGTGATTTTAAGAGGTTGCATTGCATGTTTGATTTCGTTGTTGCTTCAGTATTCCTGTCTTGGAAAGTGGAGCAAGAGAGGAAAAAGACATTAAACAGTCAGTAGGGAATCCTACTGACTATTAATGTGTCAGAGGCTAAAGGATATCAGAAGTCTCCTTTTGCATATGTCTGAGCCTATTTTACCAGTTATGAGAGGGTCACAGGACAGTTTACTTTGGAAGATCCCTTCATCTGGTCCAAGCCCTTGCTCAGAGCAGGAGCGACTTCAATGTCAGCTCAACGCTTTGTGCAGTTAAGTTTTGAACATGTTAAAGGGTGAAGAGTCCACAACCTCCCTGAGCAACCTGTACCAGGTGTTTACACCACTTACACAGTGAAAAACGGTTTCTTTATTTCCAGCCAGAGCTATCCTTGCTGCAGCATGTTCTCATGAAGCACCTCAAAGAGAAAGGGTTTTTTGTCATAGTTCAAATGTGCTACTTGCTCATATGCATGAAAGGCAATATTATCGCTGCTGCAAGGACCTCTCACTGTGGCTCTGCAGCTATTTTTTTCCCCAGGGCTAATGACTCTATATGCTTTTGTATCTATAAGCACTAGTTCAGGCTTATCTCAGGTATATAGCTATATCTCATAGTCTTAATACTCCAAATACAGTGTAATTTGTCCAAGATCACTTAAAAGATTCATGCAATTAGAACTCTGGTGTCTAAAAGTTTTTTACAAAATGCTAGAAGGGAATTAGAAGATTTTTTCATTTTGTGGGGTGAACTATAATAACAAATGGTGGTGTTTTCTTCTAATGTTAGGATTTCAGAGCTAGTGACAGGCTATTTTATTGCTCATTGTGGATAATTTTTTTTAGAAAAGAAACAGTTACCTTGTCATCCAGTCTTTTTAAGACTTATCAATAAATAAGTGAAATAAAATGACACTTATGGTAAGAAACAGACTGTTCAAATAATGAAGCAGCTAAATTTTCAGAGGAAATAGAAGAGTTTTGTGACTTCAAGGATCCTTAATAGATGACAGAAATTGTGCAGTATTCTGTGGCAGAACAAAGCCACACTCTCATAGTTCGACTGGGGGCATGGGAGAATAGCAAGACATGTCCAGTCTGAAACAGATGCCAGAGTTGTTTAAAAGTGGCCCTGGGTGGCCACTTTCTGAAAACATGCCTCAGAAAAACTGTCTTTGTCAGGAAACCTGTGTGTTGAGTTGGCTATTTCAAGTCTTACCTTTTTTATTATTACTTTGTTTCTCCTCCTGTGCAATGCCACTAAACATGAAATAAGTGTTAGTAATAGTTAATGGTAAAACCAAGCAAATTATGAGAGGTCAAGAGAAATAGCTGGACCAGCCGATTAAGAGAACAGGCTTCAACAGCTTGTCTCTTCTGCTTGGGTTTCCTGACTGATCTTGCTCAAGTCACCTGAAACTCCAAGATTAGAGGACAGGCCCAGGTGTGACAAATACTGCAGAACCTGGGTCTTAGTTTACCTGAGTCCATCTGAACCAACCTGCTGGGTGTGAACCAGCATCAGCCAGGTTTAACTGGCAGTGAACACCCCTTCTCACTCATCGCTCCCATCATTTGCTTTGTCTGTAGTGCCCTGTTAGGCAGTCTGGTCTTTTCCACAACTACCATCTGGACAGAGCATATTGGAAAATTGGAATTCTTTCAGGCGAGAATCTCAGGTCGTTCTCCAGGGAAATTGCCAGCTGACAGACTTCTGTAATCATCCTGCTGGTATCTGAGAAACTTGCTTCCTTTTAAGGCTTTTGCTTTAAATAAAAGTTTGTTTTGCTTAAAAACAGTGCATTTGTCGGTTTCCACATGGAACAGAAACCACGGTGAAGTTCTGATCATAATAATGTTTTCAATTCTAACAAAATACCAGACAGTCTGACCTACATTGACATAAATAAACTATTTTGTATTAGTCTCTTTTCATCTGATAACATTTATCTGATATATGGAAGTCATAATAAATTCATTTCTCTTCTACCATTTTATCTCAGTTCTAAAGAAGAAGCAAAACTATAGTGAAGTTTTCACTGGTTTATCTTTTTTCATATCAAGGACTGCATATTACTTTAAGGGAGTCATTCCCAAAGTGGGATCCCTAGGCTTCTGTAGGGTTTCCCCTGAAATACAGAGGGCTGTATTTCAAGCAGAAAGAAATTATGCTGGGGATGGATCTGAAGTAGCAATGCATGTTTTCACTATGCAAAAGATGTACCACAGTGTGCTCTTCACAGTTGGTATGGAGAATACCTGGTACCAGGTGGGGTAGGAAGGGGTGAGTATGCAGTGTGCCACGCTGTGTCTCTGTTGTTTCCCATCTAGTTTTTGAACCTTCTGCACCATTTTCAATAACTCTTTCACTCCAAAACTTTTAGCCTAATCATTAGCTAATTTTGTTAGCTAATGAAATCATTAGCTAACAAAAAACATGTTAGAAAAATAACTTAAGTGAAAGTAGAACAGTCATCTTTAGCCTAGTATATTTCCTAATATATATATATTAGGAAATAGTATATAGCCTAATATATTTCCCTTTTCAATGGTACACAAGCTGAAAAACATTCACTTTTTAGTTTTCAAATGTGTCCATTTTGTTAATTTTTATCCTAGTTTATTTTTGTTCTGTTAGAGAGAGTAGTAAGTCAGCGAATCTTATCCTGTCTTTGTTCTGCCAGTTTTTTAATCTTATCATCAGTGGTCAGTCATACTCTTCTGTAAAAACACTTGCAAAATATCTTGTGCTCTAGTTCTTGCATTTTGGCAAATTGCATTCAGGAGTTAACTGCTTGAATGACTCTTTGACATTTTGCCTCTTGTTAAAGGTGTGAAAACCTGCAATATCTCTATCATTTTTAGAAGTTGCAGCTGCTATACAAAAATTATATCAATAATGAAATGCCTAAATTACATGATTTCTAACTTTATTGCATGAAATCAGTCCTGTAACTTGTAGAATGAAGAAGAAAATTATTTTTATCACAGTTCTTATCCTACCTTGTTGTCCTTATATACTGTGTAGGTATATGCAAAGTGAATGTGTTGTCACCGTACTGGGTCCTCAAAAAATTATCAGTGGGCATTAACATTTCAGAGAAAACTTGGTTTTGCTTCAATCTGTGCTCTGTGTCAGCAGGCCAATGGTCAGTTAACACCAGCACGTGCTACATGAAGGCAGATTACTTCATACAGAGAAGTTCGTTGATATTATTCTCATCACTGCTCTGGTGAGAGCTGGTGTGTCAGCAGTAGGCATAAAAGTCTTCAGTCAGCTTCTCCTTATCTGTAGGGTGATAAGGTGACTTATCCCTGGCGTTTTATTTTGCTTTGGTTTATGTAAGATGAGTTGGATCTTCTTCTTTGATCTGGGACAAGCAGCTTTGCTGAAGGGCTAATTTGGAATTTAGAGTTACTTTTTGTTTTACAAAACTCCTGGGTTAGTATCTTGATGAACAGATGTAACGTGCATAATATGCCAGCAGGTAGCATGATTTTCCTCATGTGATCATAATACTCCCATTCATCTGACAAATCTTTTGTTTAACCCTGTTAGTGTGTGTCCCATGGACAGCATATGGGGAAAAATATCACTACTACTTTGATGTTTAGTGCCATCATTATCTCTGGCTTTCAGTTTTGTTGTCACTGGTAAATTACCTGTGATTTAGAACTTTATTTTCTTTTGATAATCAGTTGTTTCATTTTCTCTAGTAAATCAATTATATTTTCGCTCTCCAAGGCAGTCTCTTCTTCTTGCATGCTTTTGGCAGCCAAAATCTTTGTCTAGTTCTTTGCTGTGAGTCAAACATAAATATTCTATGGTTTCAAACTTTATTTGTGATGTGAGTAGAGCTTCGATGATTACCAGACTTGTTATTTTAGAATATTGCTACTATTCTCTGCCTGGATATTGTCACCACTGGATACGGTTTTACCGACCAAACAAGATTGACTTCCTCTAAGCTATGCAACCTCTGTTTCTCTCCATTAGTGACAGCTACTTCTAGCCTATGACTTCTTTCATCCTAAAAACAGATTTTTACTTTTCACCAAGCAACTCTCATTCTAAAAATACCTTTTCTTTCTGTGGATAATAAAGAAACATTAGGGGAATGACTTGAGTGCTGATCTCCACACTGCAGTGATGTTAAACTAGAGACAAATCTCACACCTTCTATCCAAAACAGAGCAGTTTCTTCAGTGCCTCTCAACATCTCTTTCTTGTGTTCTCCTCTGTTGTTATGCACCATTATGCACCTCTGTTGTTATGCACCAGTATTCCATAAAGCCACACAAACCTGCTGGTTAAGCAGTGTGGCTCAGCCACGTGAAACCTATTTGTATCCTCTTGTTCAAGTTTAAAGTGAGTTTCTTTGATTTACTCCTAAAGTGAATTAAGCTAAATCGAGTTAAAGCTGCTTGTAATTCTGCCTGGTTCTGCAAGCAGAAGGACAGCGGCCTTGTGACTAATCCTCCTGGAATTTGTACCTTCCCTTCATTTGTTGTCCCTTGTCCAGCCCTTGGTCATTTGAGAGTACTCAGAGGTTTAACAAGTCTGGCCTCTGGCAGATTAGGTGGTTGAATTGAATACCAATATATTGTAGTTCAATCCATAATGATTAATAACTCATTTTATTCTCTCTGATACAGATCTGGTACTACACAAACAACATCTTCAGTGAAGCTGGGATCAGTCATGAAACAATTCCCTATGTTACGCTAAGTACTGGTGCTGTTGAGACTTTGGCTGCTGTTTTTTCTGTAAGTATGGTTTTAAAAACCATTAACATGCTTGATGTTTAAATTACTGATTTTATTTCCTTATACAGGTTAAAAATATAAAGAGAATAGTATCTTGATTAAGTGTAACACTTGATAAAGCGATTGAAAATATTATTTCTAATTTTAAACCTAAACCTGGTTTTGCATCTTTGGGATGTTTTTTCTAAGATGCTCTTTAGTTTTAGTTTCATAAAAGGAACATATGAGTTGGTATATCCTGAGGTGCTCTGTATGAGCAAAGAGGAAGGCGGCAGAAACAGTAAGGCCCAAAGTATATTAAGTGGTAACTCATAAATGATTTTACCTGGTAAAACAAATTTACCTGGTAGCAGTTTATTCACATCTGAGAGCCTTCTCATGTGTCTGTTTGTAAGCAGACAGTGTTGTTGGAGAAGGCTCAGGCACAGTACAGGTAGGTGCATTCACTGTGGTTTGCAGAAACAGCCACCCAGATTGGTGGAAAAGTGAGCCAGCATGCTAGAAAAGGGTGTCCCATTTCTAGGGTGGTGTTAAATTCTGCTCTCTCACTCACCGAGGACCAGCAGGCATCCTTTCGTAATGCATGAGCTCCTGAGTAGGTCGGGGACCTTCACTCTACACGGAATGGAGAGGAAACTGGTAATAGAAAAAATCATCCATGCGCATTTTTTTTTCCAATTTCAGACTGGAAAAGTTGACTAGGAAAAAAAAAATACGCTAAATGAGCAAACTTAATCTGAAAGTTTTAGTAGGTGAATGCATGATTAATTGTTAAAGGAAATGCATTTCTGTTTGCACTGCAATAAATAAGAAGCAATGGGAGAGGTCTTAGGAATGGAAACTTGCAAACAAGCAAGTACTGTTTTCTTTCCTTGCTAGAATTTTTCCTTTTCTTCATCTATTCTATACTAACTGTATTTGCACAATACTGGACACACAAGCCAAGCATTTTTAAATGTCAGAAGAATGGTTTTGGAAAAAAAATATCCTTTTCTGTGGCAGAGCAACTGCTTATGACCTATAAAATGTTAAACTAAATCCAGCTATCAGGTATATTTTCTTATTGCCTAGGACATAAGGACTCTAAAGGTCACAAATATCTTCTTCTGATCTTTTTGAATTTCCAAAAATCTATTTTTGGCAAAAGCTTCTATTTTTAATTTCTTTTTTTAATTAAAGAGACATTGATTAGCAGGGAAATATGGAAGTCCCTACCTGTTACAGCTTCTTCTTTGTGATACTGCACAAATGCTCCTCTGTTTAAGATATATGTAAAAACAATTATGATAATTCTGCCACTGATATAAGTGAAGAATACACCTCTTTTATGTGAAAACAGATGAAAATTACACAGAGATGATTCCCTGATATTAAAGCCATTATATAAATAGGGTCTGTCATCTGTGCTGTCAGTTTGTGGGGCTTATTCAGAGCACACTGTTCATACATAATGAGGTGGATGTGTCTGCTTTGGCTCCTGGTATGTGTAGCTTTTTGTTCTCAAGAGAAGTGTTTTTAATACTTTTTCTTTTTAAGCTACCTGCTGTGCTTCTGGAAATGCTGATGTGTTGATATCTCTTCTCTCTTCAAATTTCTCAGGTCAAGAGATGCTGCTTTGTAGCCTTAATTTTATTACAGTAATCTTCAGAGATGTTTCATTGCTGCTGTTTAAAGCAACGACAGTGTGAATTTCGTTTTTCAGTTGAGGGTTTTGCAGCTTATTTATTCAAGTAACTTCTTCTCAATTTTTTTCATTTCTAGCACTAAGGATGGGGCATTTCTTCCCACTCTCAACCTATCCCAATCTTTGTTTAATCTATTTGACAGCATTAAATGTTAAGTCAGATGTGCGTGCCTTTTGTACCACTCAGGGAATAAAGAGAAGAAAGCAGAAAAAGGACTTAATTTTCCTGGTCTTTTTAATATATTGTGCTTTCTAGAAGAAGCCAGATTTTACTTACAGTAAACTCCAGGATTTCAGTAGAGATAATCAGTAACAGAGATATAGTTTTTGTCTTTGTAAATTAGATAGGAGAGGCCCACGAGAAATCACGTACCATCTGTGATCATTATGCCTAAATGAGGTGGCTATGAGACTCTGAGCCTCAGTAAGAATACTGAGGTATTGATGAGCTCTATTGATGAATGCCAAAGGAATAGATTGAAATAGACATATTTCACAGAAAAACAAAGTTAACATTTAGGGGATAAATACTGAAACTGTGAAAAATTTTGAAAGTCTCCCTTTAATGTGTCTCCTAGGAGCTGCAGCATATAGTAATAATGTTGATGTGGTTTGTGAGGAAAGGCAAATAACATCCCATCATTTTATAGCTCTGTATTGCCTCAGATCACATGATATGCCAGCTAGTAGCATGCTTTGCCTACAGCTCCATTCCTCTTCCCCTCAAGCAAAAGCCATGTTACCAAGCCATTGAAAAATGAAACTCCTGTATGGTTATGTTCCTTTCATTTATATAATTTGGCTGCAAATTCTGCTTATACTAGCACTTCCTAGTTTACTTCACAAAACACCTCTGTTTTAGCATTGCATGCTTGATGCCCTGGCTTCTCTCTAGGGAGACAATATAAACTTCCTGTATGTTTTTTTGTTAATTGTAGAGAATTCCACCCACTGTACTGAACACAGATTCAGTTTAGAGGACTGACTAGACAATCTACTTTTTAATGAGGGTGCCCATTAATTTCAGTTTACTTCTGAAGAAGTTTGTTGTCCTCTGGAATGAATGACTGAATGGATTTGCTACTTGTAGGCATATTACAGCAATACGTTATCTAACCTGAAACCATTCATTAAAGTAGGATAGAATATACCTAAATAATTCCCTGTGATTATTAGAAGTCTGTTCTATAAATTCTGCAGTAAGGGGATTCCACAAACTTAGTTATTCTTCAGTAAGATTGATTACTATGGCTATTTTTTAATTTTTACTGATTGAGGTTATTTAATTTAGTTGTTATCTTACTCTTAGGTGACAAAAAGAACAATTTGCCAGTGCCTTTCTTTAGCAAGGCAGCAGGGTGAATGTAAAGACACAAGTAAGCTTCTGAAAAGGTTCCTTCCCTCCTCCATGAAACCAGTATAGAACAAAAAGGAATGTTATTCAAATTAAGCATCCCACATCCAATTTTGCCATCTGTGACACCACATTTGGTCTTTATATAGTGTTCACAGAAAGAGACTAGCTATGGCTATATTGAGAACACTGTGCCTTAAGCATTTCCCATAAGGTGATGCACCAAGGTGTTACTAAAAGCCTGTGACAGAGACAAGCCATGTGAACCACAAGTGAGTTAAAATACATTTCAGTACTAGACCATAAAGGAATATAGGAAATCCTTTGCAGTATCACACAGAAGCCAAGGAAGCCAAGCTTCTTAGGCGAGATGATTTTATTCTGCTTCAGGATCTCATGAGAAAGAGCTCTTAGACTTGGTCTGTGTTTCTTCTAATGTCAATAGATCTTAACATGGGAGGGATTCCCTGCTTGGACCATGGCTCATCTTAAAACAAGGGTACTCCAGATACTTCCATAGGTATTCTCATCCCCAACACATTTCCTCCATGGTTTCCAAAGGACAATGTCAGATATCTCCATTGAAACTCTGTGGCTCTACTGGGGTCAGAACAGGAAGAAATATGTATCAGTGAAAGCCAGTCATATCAAGTGAAAAAAATGGGGTGGCAAATACTTGCATCTCAAGAGTTCTTAGGGAGTTGTGCTATAATCTGATTTTTAGGATTTTTAAGGCAGTCCCATGTGAGACTGTTCACAGTAGGTCAGAATCAGCCTTCACCTGCCCATAAACCCCAATAGGATGTAAGTAGAGTGCAAGAACATGGCATTCCTCCCTCTTTCTCCCCTCACTCGGACAAGCTGTTGCTCAAGGATTACCAGAATTTGAAAGTTATATCTTGGCCTGTAATAACCTGGATAGAGTCAGCAGTAGAAAAGAAAGATTGGCCAACCAGCAACTCAGATCATGGTATTTGTTGATAGACAGAGGCATACAGGCACATTTTCACTGCAGGATGGACTGGAGAGTGGGACTGTGTTAATGCACACTGCATTTATCCACAAGTGAGCAATGGAATTGCTTTTAGACAAAGACGTGATTCCTTTTCAATTGTTTTAATACATGTGGACTTATGAATAGACAAGGCTTACATGTGTTGAAGTAACCATGTAGTGCCTTCCAGGAGAAAAAGTCTCATTATGAAGGTCTACCTTACCATACCACTCCTAACACCCAAGGTGTACATGGTTAAAGGCTGAGTTTGTGTAGTACAAATCCTTTTGCAGGATACATTCAGAAATTAAAACTCCTGAAGACATCTCCTGCTGCTGAGTAATGTTTGTATCAATCTGTTCAAGATGATCTTCATCAGGGCATTCAAATACCATTATTAGAAAATAAAGCAACCAGCCACAATAACCTGTCATAGATGAAGGTTGGGATCTAGACTAGCTTCTATAGCATGAACATGACATAAGACAAAACTTAGTGCTTTTAACAGCTAAATCACCAACAGAAAGAGTTTTGATTCAGAAATATCTACAGTTTACTGAAGGGACATCATAGGAACAAGGAAATGAGGTGCTTTTTTGTTGCCCTAGGGGCTGTTGCCAAGCACTGCTGAGGCAAAAGCATCTGGCTGGATGAGTTCCTGTCTCAGTCATGCTGGTCTGGCAGGCATCAACTATGGAGAGCATCTTTAGTGAATAGAAAATTTCCCTTCCAACTGAAGCTGATTAAGGATGCCTTACTGCAAAATACTTCAAACTGAGCTTGGAAACTTAGCAATCAATTCTACCCTTTGCTGAGAGTAATCTCCAGCCTGGCAGCTACAGAAGGTGTGTAGGATCTTATCCTGTCACGGCTTGAACACAGGTACAGGTAAATGCAGCAAATTATTTAAGGCTTTTGCTTATGTGGTCAAACTTGATGCTAGGCCTGTAAATTCCACTTTAGGTACTAAAATACAATAACCCTTTTCTTTGTTTTAAAATGTATAATTCATAGAGTAGACTGATGGACATACATCAAAATACAGAGCAAAACCCCTCAATTTATAATGCTCAGTCTGCTGTTCTGCTCCTTTTCCCGGATGCAAGATACTACACATTGTGTCATAAAGTTACATAAATGAGATTATACTTTTTCATCCTGATACTTAAAATGGAATTAAGAGTATTAGCTTGCCACATTAAGTCTGAAACCAGTCTAACTCAGACCTTTATCCAAAATATGTCAGAAAGAAAGTGTGGCTACTGTTGACATTAACATACAGAGTAAACTTCTTCACAGAACTTCACATCAAGAAAATCTGACAGAGTTTTCTTAGTATAATCTAGGGCCAGGATATAAGTAGGGAATAGTATTCAGTGACCTCCTATTTGGGCTGTAAAACTTGCCTAGACATTCATTTTATCCAGACAAGCTTGTCTGATCTTTTTTTAATGCACTCTGCTTTCATTATGTCAGCCTTGGTATCTGCAGCTGACTCAAGTGAAAAGGTTGACATTTGCTTCTTTATTCACAAGTGTTTCCTGCCAGACAAAAGTAAGTTGTGTGAAATGTTAACGTAGTTTGCATATCAGTTGCCTTATTATCACCAAACATTTGCGCTGAGAGAATTTTGGTTACAATATTTTTTTACACATTTTCAGTAATTTCAGCTGTGTTAATTATCATGACTGGGTATAGGGTTCTGCAAAGGCATGTTTATGATCACACATAAACAAGTAGCAGCCTACACATTTTGGCACATAACTCAGTGTGCTATCACTGAAAACAGTTGTAAGGTTCTTCTTTTGTCTATACTAGAGCATATACTGAATTTCTTGTTATTTCATTTACTCTACTGTATAGTATATTTTGACTTGTTATAGGTCTTCAATAGGTAACAGTTACCAATGCATAGCAGTGGAGCATTCAAAACTATAAATACTTGAGAACTGGTGAATCATCTTCCACTTCTTATGAGTCAGAAGCATCTTAGTGGGTTTTGCAAGTTAACAAGTTTTGGATTAGTATAATCATAACTAAAAAATTAAATTGCTGTCTGTTTATAACCTCAAAACCAGCATTTTTTTCACCAGGGAAACTTGCTGTTGTGGAAGATGTGTTAGACCTTGCTTTTCAAGTATTGCTGAATCCTCAAAGTGGAAATGATTATAGGATTCCCAGCAATTCTGAGACAACATAGTGTCCTGTGAGTAAGGACAAAATTCCTGATCATTTTTCCTGTGAAGGAAGTTGGTCCATTCCATAAATGACCAGAAGTGTAACAAACAACAGCAATTATAAATTGTTTGGGTCAGAAACTGCAGGGAGTGCCCAGAAGCTAAAACATCCAAGTTCCTGAATGGTTCTGTATTAAACAGATAGCATTGATGAATGCTTGGGAAACCTGGCAATAGCTCAGGAAACAGAATGTCATGGACTTGCTTGCACATGCATTTGCTTTATTTCTTCCCAAATTATCTCTGAGTAAAACAGAATTCAAATATATTAGAAACTACTGTTATGTTCTGTAAAAAGGATATAGAACCCACAGATCTGCTGTAACTGTATCTGTACTTGGCTGGTCTCAATTAAAACGGGGAGCGCCTCACCAACCCATCTAGTTTTACACAAATATGTCCACAGTGTAGGTAGACATAACTGCATGCACATGTTTTTTTGAAGGACTTCTCCAAACTGTTCTGCCTTACTGGAATTTGATTTGCTTTGAGCTTTACAACTGAAAACTATGTATCGGATCTTCACCATGTTTTGTACAAGAGGCATCTATGACCCTTTTTGCCTCTAAGAAAAGCATCATCCCTTACCCTATTTTAACATAAAACCCACCAGCTGGGTAACACTGAAATTGTTTAATCATGACCACCAATCCAGCATTGAAAAAAATAAGAGAAATTACCCAATATGTCAAATTACATGCGCAGCATTTATTGCTGAATGTGTAATTAATACCAAATTACATGTGCAACATGTATTGCAGAAGCCTCTGTCTTACAGACCCATTCATCCCTCAGATCCATAAAAGATGTCTCTTGGTTAAGTGTATGTGTGATGCAAGATATTTCCATTGAAACTTGGTGGCTCTTACTGGGGTCAGAACAGGAAGAAATACATTCCAGTGACAGTCAGTCATAGCAGGTGAAGGAAATGAGGTGATAAATATTTGCATCTCGAGAGTTCTTAGGAAGTTATGTTATAATCTGTTAAAATCTGTCGGCAAGATGGATTCATTCATCATAATGGAAACTACTTACCATCTTGTAAAGGTTTCAACAGTGAAGCAGTTGCAATTTTGAAACATTTGGTCCTCATGAGCACAATGTGAAATCTTATTAACATCAGTGCCCGTCTTTTTGAAATTCCATAATTCTATTATGGAAGCTGTGGAAACTTTCCAAGTGAATATATTTCATCATACAAAGAAACAAGGAAATCTTGCCACAGAGCTGCTTTCAGTGTTCTGCAGTGTCACAGTGCACATCTCTGGTGTGGAAGTTCAGCTCAGGGTACAAGATGAACACATGTTGAAGCCTGTCCTCAGGTCTGCTGGTCAACCCCACGCTGAAGAAGTTCTTGCCACTCGAGGCAAGTCTCTGGGCGACTTTGTACTTTCCTCTAACACATTTCATCTCAACACTCACAGGGGAATGGTGTGTCCTGTCTCCCAGAATTAAGGGTGTTAGTCCAGGTTTCATTTTAGTTGCTCATTTTATCTTTTGCTCAAAGGATATGTGGAAGATTTTTCTACCTAAATGGTTATATTTGTTCTGTAGTAGGAAATTTGGGCAAACACAAAATACCAACTATTGCTTTGATGGTTTCCTTGTCTTTTCAATGGTCTCAGATAAGGATGCCATGGTAACTTGTGTTTTCAAAGAGGCTAAATTGTGTAAACATATTTGTGAGTACAATTATGAACATGTCATAGCTTATAAATAATGTAAAATCAACTCTCATGGTTTTATTTTTAATCTTCACGTTTACTGGGAGAACATATCACATAGTCCAAGTTCTTCAGTGCTTTATCAAGAAAGTCAAATGCCACCTTTTGTTTTCCAGGGCTTGGTTATTGAACGGCTTGGGCGCAGGCCTCTTCTCATTGGAGGTTTTGGGTTGATGGTTGTCTTCTTCTCCGTACTTACTGTCTCCCTGACTTTACAGGTAACACTTCAGTCACTATATATTTTTGCTCTCTCTTTGGCCTGTTTTAAATATGCTTGATACTGGTTGGCCTCGACCTTCCTACATAAGTGAATCCTTTTAATAAGTTTGGCATAAGGATTGAACGGTCTCTTTTGCTAATTTATGAATCTCTTGACTTCAAAGTGCTATCATTAGTCATAGCAGCTTTTGCATTAAAAGCAAGAGGGGCTTTCTCACATTCTGTCTCCTTAACTCAGAGATTTATGCATATCATGAAGTATTTAGGAGACAATTTTACCCATAGTTGAGTAAATAGTTTTTACACATTCCATGAGTTTATCTTTGTGATTCACTCTCTCTGAGATTTCTTTCTTACTTTATATATCATCACTATTTTAGGTTTGGATTTTTTTTTTTTTCCAGTAGTGAAAAAATTTCATGTTTGCTATTTCTTCAACTTACTTGTCTGATATTTGTATAGGTAATATAAAGATTTAGCCTTTGGGGAACATTTGCACTTAGGAGAAAGAGGAGGATAAACTTTTTATCAGGGCCTATTGTGATAGCACAAAGGGTAATGATTTTAAACTAAAACAAGGCCAATTTAGATTAGTTATAAGGAAGAAGTGTTTTACAATGAGAGAGCGTCAAATGATGGAACAGGTTGTCCAGAGAGGTGATTGATGCCCCATCCCTGGAGACATTCAAGGTCAGGTTAGATGGGGCTCTGAACAACCTGATCTATTTGACAATGTCCCTGCTCATTGCAGTGGGTTTGGTACTAGGTAAGCTTGAAAGGTTCCTTCCAATCCAAATGATTCTATGACTATTTATTCTAAATTCTCAGATCTTACTAGCACTCAATTCCCCAGCTGTTTCAAATGATCAGAGGAGGATTATTAAACCAGTTTAAATTCTACCCATGAGTATTGTTTCCTTTATTGGCTTCCATTTACATAACGATGCAGTTTGTTTCTCTTTCTGAGGACTTTTGAGAAGTAAAACTGGCATCTGCAATGGCATGGGTTTGGGTGGTCTTTCAAGTTTCTTTCCTGCTATTGTTGATACCCGTGTGGTGCCATTAATCTGACTTTCAAATTTCCTTTCTTGTTTGAAGAGAGTCATTAAGTCAGTGTGACTGGCAGGTGTACACCACAACATTACAAAGTTTTGTTTGACTTACCTGTATGTACAGCACAATAAATCTTTACTTCACATACTGCCATCAGGACAGCCGTAAAACAGCTCTTCTCCAGAAGAGAGATGCTATTGCAAATCTTGTATACCGAGTGAAAAATTCTCTTCTAGATCTTTTGAAACCTAGTCTACTCTGTATTTGCACCTTCTCTTTCTCAGAGACCTTGGATTTCTTCCTAAACAAGAACTCCAGATTGTGTAATTGTGATAGATTTACAAGCCTTTTGGTTAATGTTAATGCCTAGGAGACCATGTTTTCAACAGAACTAAAGGAATAACTCAGACTGGAAGAAAAACCACATCACAAAATGAGGGTCTTTACTGAAAAAAAAATATTTTAAATAAATTTTTAATTATTTATTTTATAATTAATTCTTAATAAAATATTTTAATAAGCATATTTTTACAGTGCCATTCAAGATGATATTTTCTGATAGTACAGTAACATGTATCTTAACCAACTTTTCAAAAATAGTAAAATTCTAATAAAAATATCATTCACACTTTACTGGGGAACAAACCCCACCTGTCAGAGAGAGAAGGAAATGGGCATCCATGGTTTTTTCCCATCTTAATGGTATTAGAATCAGGCATACGTGATTAAGAAAAGTGTTCTAACTCCATAGAAATTGCTCATCATGTTTCAGGTTCCTATCACTTAGAGGTTTGAATAGAGAAAAATCTACTTAGAAGTAGAAGAAAGACTGCCTTGGGAGGAAAATAAGTGATGCCATTTACAGTTCCCTTAAAGAAGCATTTATAGTTTGTTCTGATTTTACCTCTACCTATTGTTTGCACACATGGCTCTCCTTGTCTGCAAAGCAAGATTATGGCTGAAAAATCCCTGGGCTGTGGCTCCGCCAGGGGCAAGGTTCAGATTCAGCTCTCACACCGACTGGCAGCCTGTCGTGTCTAGTCTTCAGCCCAGGCTTTGACTGGTGAACTTTGACGCTCTATGGGCCTTCATAGTTACTCTTTCTAAAAATGACTGAAATACTTGAGGAGGACGGAGGTGCTTAATCTGTTCATCGGAAAGAAAACCTCTTTTCCAGATTGGCTTGAAGTTTAGCACAAGAAGTTGCGAATTTTTAGAGTTCTGACTTCTGTGTTGCATGAGCTTGTCTAGTGTTTCTCTACAGGGATTCCACAGAGACCAAGATTTTTAATACAGGTCATCTAGTAAGGTCCTACAGAAATACTGTGATTTTCTAAAGTAACCCTAGACTAAATTCTGAAATAGATAAAGAATAATGGAGAACACTATCTGTGGTTTTTTAAAAAATATTTTTAAAATATTTGTGATACATACAATATGCTTAATGTGAATGTCTTTTATCTACCCAGAACACTGTGCATTGGCTTCCTTACCTCAGTATATTTTGTATCCTTGCAATCATTGCATCATTCTGCATTGGACCAGGTATGTCTTTATATATTTTTTCATGTTTCTTTGCACATCAAAGAACAGATATTTTTTCACTGGCATTATGTCAACAAAGTGAAGTGTGGAACTTCACTTTACCCTTATCTGAATACCACAAGGGGTCTAAGTCAATAAAAGATAGAAACACAAAGTGATAGGAGTATTCTTGACAAAAAACCCCTGTACACATGCGTTCTCATTTAGGTGTCAGCATAATTCAGAATTAGGGCCTAAAAAATTAAAATTTTGACTATTATTGTAGGATCACTGTGATTTTTCAAGATCTACAAAAACACTCAGACTGGAAGCTGTGTTTTATGTAAAAATTGTTGTGTTAACACCTCAGTGCTGGTGGAATTCAAATGGGGCACTGGTGGAGAGGGAGGAAGAGAACAACGGTGTGTGTGCTTCCTTTGTTCTCTTCCTTTCCAAAGACAAAGAAGCCCCAGGTGAGAGGGTTTACACATATTCTCTTTAGGAATATGATAGAAAAGGTAGATGTCCTGTCAGTTCTCTAGAGATTGTATGCATTTCAGAGCTGATGCCCTCAGATTACTGCTTCTGTAGGTTATAGTGTGTTTATCAAAACTACTTTCTCAGCTCAACTTTGATTACTTAGAGATGAGTAGAACTTTATAGACAATCTGGTACTCACAGGCTGTAATTTTTGTATTTCATTTTCTTTAACAAAGAACATGTTTGTGGTATAAAAAATTGATAAAGCCAGACCTTCCTCAGAAATGTAGAATAAAAAGACAAGAGCAACAGTCAAGTCTCAGCAAGGCCTTCTCTGACTGGATAGAGGAGAAAAAAAATTATACTGAGATGTCGTGGTTTCGGAATGGTGTTCTCCAATTTAGTGTTCCCACTGAAATCACTCCAAACCATACATCACTTGCTCACTCCCTCCTTCCCCTCCCCTTCCCCTGCGGGATGGAGAGAACTGGAGGCATAAAAGGTAAAGATTATGGGTTAAGATAAGAATAATTTACTGGAAACAGCAATGAGGTAAGAAAACTAATAATAACAGCAACAATACCAATGACAGAGGGTACAAGAGAGAGGCAAACAATTCACATGGAAATCCCCTGACAATACTCAACCACTCCCACTGCCATGCCCTTCCCCTGTCACTGGAAAATGACATCAGGTGGTATAGAATAACCTCTGAGTCCTGGCCATGCCACTCTTGGCTACTGCAGATAACTCTGTCTTGGCCAGCCCCAGGACATGACAATATAAAGCGCTGGAAGACTTCACTCAAGAAGACCATGAAATGTCTGTCCTTGGAGCTATTCAAAACTCAGCTGCACAAGTTCATGAGAAATTGCCCCTGCTAAGACCAGCTGAACTCCAGAAGTCTCTTCCAGCCTAATTTATCCTGGGATTCTAATTGAATCACATCTTTGGAAAACATATTTTAATAGAGATGCAAATACTTGTCTGAGTGTAGTATTTATCTAAATAATATTGCTCTAGCTTTCAGATACTTAAAGAGAATTGAATTCTGAAGTTATCAAAAAATGAAATGTTAACGAAAATTATTTGCAGATAGATAAAGAAAAATGTAATCCAAGTTCAACTGACATACAAACTAAGATGTCAAAACAGTGCTTAAATTTTCAAAGATTCTCTTACAAGTTGTCCTCCACAAAAAGGGGAAAAGTCAGCTGCTTTTTAGGATTTTTTCACAGTTGCTCAGCAGTAAACCAGAAAGTAAGACTTCTGTTCCCTTGAGTTCTCAGAGCTTTTTTCATGCACTATTTATTGCCTCTTTTTCTTTGTAAAGAGTTTGACATTAAACATTAATCAAATGTTTATACATTTTCACCACTGGAGTGGTTTAATTGATTGATTGTGGTTTCTTTGGGGGAAGAAAGAGTTGCTGATGTGTAATGTGACTCTAATGAAACATTGTTGTCATTCTGTGGATCCTCTTTTGGAAAGCTCAGAAAAAAATATGCTGCTTTAGAGGAAAAATGGGGAGAAGACCAAGATATTCCTTTTCCCCTTGTTTTTGGGAAAAGAGTTTGTTACTAATTTCTGTGCAAAATACTGCTAAAATACTGAAAAAAATATTGCCATCCCTTTGTTCTTACATATCTCAGTTTCAGTTACATCCACTGTGTTGCTGACATGTTTTGTAGACTGAGGTTGGGATTTTTTTTTAAGAATTCTGTGAAATAGAACTGTCCTTGAATTTTGAATACCATAAAAATGTCAAATGTTGAAATGAAACTTCTTGAAAACTTCCCTTCTAGTGTTTTAAGCAGTTCAGACAGTTTAAGTGCACCTACTTGCAACATCTAGCATCATGGAAATGTTTTTTCTTGCTCTCACAGTTGACCTGAAATAAATATAGGATATGTTTCAGCTGAAGAATTGTCATCCAGTAAAGAGTAAATAGAAAGAACTGAGGGGGTTGGCTCTAGCTCCTAAGGATACAACAAACAAAAAGCAAAAAAAAAAAAAAAAAAAAAAAAAGAGAAAACAAATAGAAGAAAAATAGTAAGAGAACATTTTCCGTATCTCTAAAGAGTATATGTGTTGTTCAGGTTATGTGTTATGCATCATGAGCAAATGCATTGATTTGTAAAGCTCTTACTGGGTGGGTAACAATATGCAGCACCTTGGAAATTTGGATAGTGATAGACAGGCTTAGGTACATGTGAAGTGTCTTCCTTATTTAACTTTGCCTTAGATAATATTTAAGGAAAAAGGAAAGCCTAAAATTTATCACCACTTTCTCAGTTCAATTTGTGTGGCTGTCTCTTCGTGGACACTGAACACTGTCATGTTAAACTGTGCCTGCAGAATCAATCTCTTTCTGGAAAGCCACTCTATATACTGACTTAAACAGAAAAAAGGGAGAAGGTTCTGCTTATTTTTAGTTGTTATCTTGAATTCCCCATTCACCCACTGTGCCTTTGCAACAGTTGCTGTGCCAACAAGTGATTTTTAATTTTTCTGGGAGAATTGAAAAATGTGCATTGTAGTTTTACAAAAGCTGCTGCAGATTGGCTCCTTTTATCTCCCAGCCAAATAGTTTAAGCCAAACAAATAAGCAAAAACATATGAACCCTCCTCTCTGACCGAGAATGTGTGCAATCCAGTTTCCTGATTTGCCTGCAGGGATGTGACCTCACCTGTCAGTGAGTTTGTTATGCATTTTGAGGTGAGGGGCTTGCAGTCCTTGTTTTAGATGTTTTTTCCAATTTGTATAAAACGATTGAATGTTCATTCTCTGAACCAGAGAATGGTTTTTCTGCCATGTGTCAAGATGTGCCAGATGGTGGAACATGTGGAGAAAACAACCCCATCAACTTGACTAACCGGGGATTACGGCAACGTTGGCATGGACTTCTAGATAACCTTCCTAGTGAAGCAAGCATAACAAAAACACAGTCAAGGCCTTGAAAACTTGAAAACTTGGCATAAAGCATTTCCATGCATTATCTTTGTATGAAGAGATTTATTGATATTTCTTTCTTAGAAGCATATGCTCTTTAAGTGTAACACTTTTCTATGGAGCTTTGATAAATGGACAAGGCACTTCTGCGGAGAAGGGACGGAAACCAGGGTGAGGGAGGCTAGGTATGATGACTGTCTTTAACTAAATAGAAAGATGGGAGGAGGTGGACTGTTTCAATAAAATTCCTTGCTTTGAAGTAATTTTCTTTTAACAGTTTATTTCAGAAATTGAATAAGTACTGTTGCTTTCAAATATTTTCAAATTTTCTGGCCCTGAAAACATGGTGAACTAGAGTACTGGACTTATTTTATCATTGGAAATAAGCAGAGATAACACCCAACCCTATTGTGGCAGTAAGATCTGTAAAAAATGTTTGTGTAGCACAAGTGTGCTGCCAGCTCTTCAACCACTGTAGCTGGGAGGGAGGTCACCTACATGTGTGCACAGCAAGGTGTCCAGTAATGTTTCTTCTTTCATCAAACATTCCCCAAGAGTTTCTTGGAGTCCTCTGGAAGGAAAAAAAATCAGCTTTTATTACAATAAGCAGTAACACTCAGGGAAATTCCAGAAATCTGAGGATATGCTTTTATATCCATTGTCTGATCATGATAACTCAAGCCACCTTTGTGCTGGAAATTTGTGTTATTTTCGTGGCACTTCAAGTTTGAGATTAGTGATTTTGTTGAAATCTGACTTAAGTGTTTCACATTTTGCCCATTTCTAGTAATGGGACATATATATCTGTATGAGTTGGAGAGGAAAAGAGGCTTGGAAACTCAGAACAGGGTAAGAATTTAAGGGTGTCTGAAAACGCCAGTTAGCTAAGGGAGAATATGAGAATAACACCTCTAAGTATCACATGGAAGTCTTCCTTATAGCTATTTATATTTTATCTAAGTAATTTGAAAGATTTTTCTTTTTATATTAACACTGTACACATTCTTGCACATGTTTTCTCAGAGATCTAATACATCATATTGTCATGCATTGTCTCTCTGTATTGTAATGTGAAAAATGCTCATTGTGTTGTCATATATCATGTCACCATTTTTGAGATGATGACTTAGAGCTGAATGTTGGAGTACAAAACTGTTCATGCAGTAGTTAGCACAGAAAAGCTGCAAAGAAGGGCTACCATGAAGGTGAAGAAAATAGATTTTTATATGAAAAGATACAGAATAACTTCATAGTGTCTAAAAGGCTGAAAATATTATTTCTGTTTCTAAGTATGTGGACAAAAGGAAAAACAACACTGAGAAGGGAGAATAATCTGAAGGCAAATATTGCTACAAAAAATAAAAACAAAGACCCAAACTTAAATGCTAACTGGCCATGAACAAATTTAGAATGGAAATTGGAAGAAAACTCCTAGCTGCTAGAGGAGACAAGTTCTGTATCAGCTCCTCAATGGAAACAGTAAAATGAGACTTGAAACAAACATATTTTATAAATTAAATGCTGTCTGAAACAGCTGAGGATTGGATTTGAACCACATGACCTAATCTGACCCTAGATTCTTTTATTC